AGCGTCCATAGACATCTGAGAATGCCTCTTTCCCCCAGTCATCCCATCCAAGGGCAGTCTGCAGGTGGAGCGGACCCTGACACAGAGTTAAAAGAGATGAAACCCTGTGGGACCAACTCCGCAGCCCCAGAACCCAGAGAGGGTGACTCCGGGTACACCCCACCCCCAGCACAGGGGCTCCCCTGGAAGACGTTGCCTTTGGAAGGAGCTCAGTGAGGCGCTGTGCGTGTGCCTGACCTGACACCCACAGCTGCACTCTCCGAGCTCCCACCAACACTGCCTCTGGCCCACGTGGGGGGGGGGGGGTGCCACCTGAGCATCCTGCAGTGGGTGATTTAACATGGAGAAACCGGTTGACCCTTTGATTAGCCTCACACACAAATCAAGCGAAACGCCAAACACAAAGGGGAGAGAGAGTACGGAAACAAGCAAATGAACCACAGACGACTGCTCTTCAAAACAAGGCAAGGCAACTCTGTCATCAGAACCCCAGCCTTTCCCAGAGTTGAATATGCTCAGAATCCACCCCCCAGTAATGGGCTGGCCCATGAGGATTGGGGAGCAGACGACGTATGCCACAAGCAGAGGCCGGATTCTGTGCCCACCACCCATTTTTCGAAATTTGGAGTGGGACCGACAGCAGAATCCTTTCCCTGACGTTGGCACGAGTTCAGAAAACCCCGTGGGTCTTGCTACGGTTGGAGCAAGAGGCCAACCACCCAAGGTCTGTCCTAAAGAGAGAAAACACATTACGGGCAAGTGCCCTTCCGGAGTCACGGATACTGACCTGCGCTCCTGAGACTTTCCCAGGGCTGGTACTGCCTCCCAGAAGGGCTCATGGGGACCATCTGGACACTGATGGCTAGCGGGCCAGATGACATATGTCATCAGTACCTCCGGGGCATGTCCTGGGGCCGCACCCCTGCACCTACCTGGGAGAGGGCTCCGGCTGCTGGCCACCTCCTGTGGGTAGCATAGCTTCTGCAAATACTCCAAGCTGGGGGTTGTTCTGGAAAGAGACCCACCATGCCATATTGGTCATCTGGGAGGCCAGCCCGCAAAGGACAATCATTTTTTCACATCCCAGGCAATGGTTTTGACCCCAGAAGCATCAACTCCAGAACCTCCTCCCAAATAAGGCTCAGCCTTTGTGACCATGTGGCATTCAGCACCAATGCGAAGCATGTCTGTGGGGCCAGCGTGGAGTCCTGAGAGGTGCCAACACCGGGCTCCTAGGAAGGACCACACCTAGGAATGCCGCAGCCTTCCTCTGTATTCAGTAGTACTGGGTACAGTGGTCCTGAAGGACCAGACCCCACTGATCAAGGAACTTCTCCCTTCTAGAGTCAGCCTGTCACCCAGAACCCCACAAGGGGGTGGAAGGAGAGCACAGCTTGTCACCCCCAAGTCAGCAGTTGATCTGGAAAGCTTTCTGGGCAGATGTGAGAAAGAAAGAAAAGGTGCATAAAGGATGCTGAGATTTGACCCCATCTTCCTACTGACCCCGTTGATTCCCATCCAAATACATGTGAATTTAACCATCTTAATGAGAATTGTACCAACATTGATTTCCATAAAAACTTGTTTTTCAGACTGAATTCCATTAAACTAATCCAATTCCCAGTTTAGCTTTCCTGGCTTCGCTGTTGAACTGTTTTCATTTCTTTTATTTCCCTTGTTACGTTCTCCAAATCATTTTCATTAGGATCAATTCTTTTCCATTTAAAAATTTGAATGAAGATTTGATTTCCTCAACTTGCTTCTGTCTACTTCAAATCTCACTGCCTAGAGCGGCTGCCACTGTCAGTTTCGTCATGTGGCCGCCGTGTCTGCAATGTTCTATTTCCCCAGGTCAAATGTGGCAGCTGACACGCTGTCAAGAAAATTGGATTCTTCTGCCAATTTGTAGTCTGTTGAACACACTCTGCGTTGCTGTGTGCCATTTCGGTGGTTTTTAATTTTATTTTGTGTTGATTATTTTTATTACTCTTGTTTAATGCAAATGGGATGAAACATTGATAGCCTCTATTCATTTCATAACCCAGGAGAAAACTGGGAACAGTGGTGGGGAGATGGAGAGAGAGAGGGAGAAACAGACACAGGATGAGAAGCGATGGCCTCTGAAGTTTCCGAGGGCAAACTCTGTGCCTATTCACAAGGTCAGAGTACCTGCAGAGAGGCAGAATGTCCCTGGGATGTAAAGGTGATTACAGAGGGTCCGAGGTAAGAACTGAAACGGATTCAGCACTGACACCCTCCTTTGGGGGCCTGAGTGACCCACATCGCCAGTCAAGCTGGCGTTCTCTGATCAGTATCCATCCTCATCCACTGGACAGGTGTAGACACCCACAGCCACACTGTCTGTTCTTGATCAAGGGAGAGGTGTAGACCCTGAGCTTGCCACTGGGTCCCAGAAGCCATCCCAAGCAGGATTTGATACTCAAACAAAAGTTGCCTTTGTGTGATTCAACATAAATAAAGCGAATTCACCAAGGGCAACCTCTGCTCAAGGATCAAACATCAGCAGGGCCAGAGCACCAAGATACCTCTTCAGGAGAGGTGGCACTGTCTCCGGGGTCTAGCTGTGCGTGTCTGCCTAGGTGGGGGTCTAGTGGGGTGCTGATCCCAACTCCTCTATCTCTGGAGGCTAGCCCTACATCCAGGGGACCCCTTGCATGTGACTAAAACATACTTGTTTTTGTTTTCTTCCCATATGGGAGGGTACCATGCACCAGCTCTAATGGCACTGGGGGAGGGATGGTCCCCTGAGCTGACTTAGGCCAGGCCTGAGTGGTGGATGAGGTTGCAAGCTCACAGGTCATGAGTTTGGCCCAGGCTTGGGCAGCATGCAGTCCCTTACCCTGGAGAGGCGCAGACAGCAAGGTCCTCCCAAGGCCGGCATCTCCTCCGAGGGGTCCCTGAGCTGGGGTTGAACAGAGAAGGGAACAACTGTTTAACATTCTCTGTAAGTCTTGTGACCACGGCAGGGTCCATCTAGTGCCAAGCTCACAGGATCCCTGACCTGAATGAAGACCAGTGAAGACCAGTGACTTTCCTTCAAGGTGGGCAGGACTGCAAGGGCAAGGAGGCCTCGTCACCAGGAAGATACAGACTCACCACTGTCCTTCTGTCACTCTTCTGCCCAGGAGGCCTCCAGGAGTACATTTCATGGAGAAAATATGTCACCTGCCATTTATTCACTCACCCAACACCACCTTCACTGTGTGTAGCTGGGGACACAGCAGTAGGCTAAACAAAGACTCTGCCTCCAGGAAGCTCACAGTCTAGTGGGTAAGGGGACAAGAAAGGAAGATCTAAGGTGTAATAACAATATCATAATGTCAATGATCGTCATAAGAACCAGTGCTTTTTCAGCCTGACTATGTGCCAGACACTGTCTACACCTTTTGCACATAACTGAGATTTTATACCTACCTTATGAGTGGGCATGAACCCCATTTTACAGATGAATAAACTGAGACACAGAGCGGTAACACATCAAGTAACCTCAAGTTCACATAGCTAGCAAACATAAAGTATCAATAAATGTGTTACTGAGTCTTATCTTGCACTAGGAATACATGAATCAAGCCATGGAAACTTATCTTCAGATTCCATTGGTTCTCACTGTGGAGGAAACCCATCCAACCCCCACAAACACACCACCATCTCCCCATTGCTGGCTTTGATTCCCAGAGGTCACCCTGAGGATAAGGATACGTTACGGGTAGTATCACACTGCATAAATAAAGTGTGCGCTTCTACTCATTCAGCCCCTTGGGATAATGCAGAAGGCCCTCTCCCTATAAGATGTGTCATATCCAAGGTGACCTCATACCTAAAAAGAGGCTTACCAAATATGTTTTATTTACCAGCGAGTCTTCAAGGAAGGGAGGAAAACCAAGGTCTCACCTAGAAAGTCAGCATCATCCCTGGGAATTCTGGGCAGAGTGGCATGGGTCACACATCAAGCAATCATCATGGGTAAATGGTTGGCTTCCTTACCCTGGAGAAGCATCTGCTGAAACTTCCCCTTGTGATGTCTTCCCAAGAAGAATTTAGTACTGAAAGGAGATTGGCCATGTAATACTCATCATAAATAAAATGAACACACCATGGACAACCTCCATTCGAGTACCCGACTCGGATGCTGGCTTCCGGCGTGTCCCAGACATCAGGCCTAAGGACGGATGGGATACCAAGAGTGAAGATGCTGGCAACACACTGTCAGTGAAACAAGCATGGACCTTACTGTCCCTTCCTTGGAATTAGCACCCCTTCTGGGAGCCATTCAGGAAGGACACGCTGCAACCAAGAGGAGCAAAGCATCATGTTATACACAGAGAGAGCGGCACGGGATGACTTCCTGTCAGACAGGAAGTGGATCTACAATGAAAGTACTGCTTCTTTGGGGAAGTCGGCATTGCAGACCAGCAGTACCCCTAGAGGTGGATGACACACGAAGGGGAGGAACATAGGTGACACATACGTGGGGTGACATGCACACATTCAGCTCAACCATCCATCCAGGCGTGCGGACACTGGTGCTAGTTCCTGGGTGCTTTAGGGCCAGATTTGATACCTAAAAAAAGGTCAACCATGTATGATTCGTCAAAAATATAAAGCGAATGCACCATGGAAGACCTCTCTTCAAGTACCACCAAGCAGCTCTGGTAAGAAACGCCCCACTTCTTGCTTCATGTTGGCACCACTTCCAGGCATCTTCCCGTGGATAGTCTCACACACACACGATGAGGACCAGGACACGGAACATCAGGAGACCGCATGCTCTGCCATCCAGCTGTGATCAACAGCCCCTGCACTTACCCTGGAGAGGAGCTGACTCCAAGGTCCTGCCCTGAAGCGGGGGCTCCACCCCCAGGAAGCTCTCCAAGGCGGGATTTGGTACTAAAAAATAGGTGAACCGTGTATGATTCGTCACAAGTAAAGCGAAGGCTACACGGATAACCTATCTTCAAGTCCCGCAGATTAGCACTAACCAGGTGCCAGGGCCTCATCTTCAAAGCTGGCCTCCTCCAGAATGTCCTAAGGACAGAGGGAATACTGAGTGTTAACAAACTGGTAGAAAGGGTCGTGAGTGAAACATACCTCCAAGTTCATTCAACTGTCCCATCCTAGACCCCGAAGTAGCCCAGACATCAACACCTTTGCCTGTTTGGCAGGATATCTAAGAAGCACTTTCAAGACTATTGCATTGTAGAGAGATCAAGGGATAAGAATTCATTATTTATCATAGCAGGGAACACAGCCTCATTATATATTTGCATCCAAGCTGACAGCAGTGATCCTTTTCTCACATACACTTGTGTCCAGAAAGCCCTCCAAAGCTGGAGTTCATTCCAAAGAAGCTGAGTTTGCAATACTGCTCATAAAGAAAATGACAGCATGCAACACAAACTTTATTACATACCAAGGTATGGCACTGACCTCGGAGTTGCGACCTCATCGCTAAAAGTGGGTATTACTTCCAAGAAGTCTCCCTACGGATAAAATGCATACTTAGGGTTAATAGACCTGCAGAAATGAGATGAAAAAAATCCTCCATTGTTAAATTCACATACCTAGCAAATGGTACTGACTCCATGTACATCCCAGAAGGTGGTGAAGCATCCTGCCAAGGTGGAAGAGGATACTGAGAAGGGGGAATCTTGGTGTGATTCATGTTAAACAGACAAAAGCAGAGTGCAAATGACAATAATGAGTCTTCCAAATAAAAGTGGCAGCCTGGGGCCAGATCATAGGTTTTTCCCTTCTCCAGCCACCAATGAAATAATAAATGACCATTTAAGCTAAGACAAGACCAACACATAGAAAACTACTTGTAGAAATACTAGAAGAAGACATCCTTGAAATGAAAAAGTAGCTAACTTGACTCATCAACAAGGGATATGATTCAGAAAAACTGATGAAGAAAAATAGTGACTGAGTCACATCCTGCGAAAGAGTTAATAGAGAACACTCTCCTCCACACACACACAAAGAAATGATGGATAAAATGAAATCAAGGCAAAAATCAATTGATAAATACACAGCTGTAAAGAATAAAATGAACACACCAATGAAGAGAGAAATCTGGACCGAAGGATCTAAAGGATGCTGCACTAGATAGAGGCTTAGAGGGTCTTTATAGTCTTAATGTCCAAGCAAGAACAGGACATGTGACATAGGGACCAGAAGAAGTGGGGGACTGAGATGGGAAAAAGAGTCAGAAAATGCTATCCTGGCTTAGAGAGATGACAAGAGAGTTTATTTCCATGCAAATTGTGGGTAGAATGAGTTCCCCTGTGAGAAACCATGCTCCTAGACCGATGTGGTGAGGATTTATACTAGACAAAAGGTATGGGACTCCTTAGGCCAACAAATGAGTCCTGACTGTTGAAAGCCTGATGCCATACGAAGTCAAATGTAGAACCATAGTGTTGTAAGGGAACAAAAAAAACCACAAACATTGATCTCCCTGATGATAACCTCACAGAGAAAAGTTACAAAACCCGTGAAAGTATTATTATGAGTCAACCAACTCACCAAAGGATAGCACTTATACCCTTACACGTGAGAGAAATGAATAGTAAGTATTGTCAAAATGTCTCAGTGTAAAAAGAACAGGAAATCATAGGGCCAAATAGAAGAGAATGAAGAAAAACAAGCAGATGAGTAAAAGTGCAACAGTCATGGTTAGACATTCTCAGAGACGAGAGAGCTCACGCAAGACAGTGACCCAAACCCTTTCTAACAAAGTACATGAAGGTCCACAAGATATACATCCAGCTAAGCAAGAGGTATGTAGAGAATTCATATTTTAAAAGCTAGTATGATACTAAGTGCGGAAGACAATGGCACAGCATCTACAAAGTTCTGAGGGGAAGAAGGTAGGCTAAGAATTTTATGCCTGGCTAAGTTGTCCCTTGTGGTATATAAATAAGAGGCAGGCATCCCCAGACGTGCAAGGGCTGAGCAGTGTTAATGAGCCATTCTTGAAGAAACAATTATTCTGATATGAATTAAAATTGAAAGCAATTATTCTGAGATATGAATTAAAATTCAGAAAGAAAGAAGGTTTGGTTTAAGGGGGAAAAAAGCACTAATTGTCAGCAATGAACCCATTTAAATATAGAACTATGATTTAACATCTACAAGAATTGTGATTATAGAATACAGTGCAAATATTTATAATGAGAAAATTATATTGTACAGTATAGCTTTTAAAAAAGCAGGAGGTGGAGCTGATTTCCTTATCTTTCAGAACCTCGAGTGAAATTGAAACAGTTAAAAAATATATAACGATCTCAACTATTTCATGTTTTACACAATGATTTTTCTTAAGCTTATAGGGATCTTTTAGGAATTAGTACTTCTTTCAAAAGAGCAAGAAATATTTATTAATTCTTCTAATTTTCTTAAGCATATTCTTTATGTTAAAGTAAAATGATGGTTAACATTTTTAACAAAAAAGTTAGTAAAATTACAGTTAACATTTTAACAAAAATTACATACTCATAAAATATTTGTGTCTCACTTTGTCTACCTTTCTATTTGGATACATGTTTGGGCAAGTGTTTAGAAATTTCTAAAGCCCTGATGGTTACTTCTGGGTTGCAGAGATTGGGTAATTATCTCCCTTTTTTACTTACATTTTCCCACATTGCTTGAATTTTTATTGTTAAGTATGTGTCATTTTTATGTCCAATTCTTTGCAACCCTTTTTTTATATGTATGGTAACAATGTAAAATAATTAGTCATTTTTAAATGAAAAATAAGAAACTGGAACTAGCACTGCCCTCTGTCCTCAAATTTGGTAGGACTTACAGGTCAACAGATACAATGCCTTAGCCCAGAAAATATACTAATACTGGTTCCCCCCCTGTGACTTTGCCAACATGGCTCAGAGGTCCTCCTCTCCAGGACAAGACATAATACTAAAACAGAAGGGAACTATCCACTGGGTTTTTGGTTTGTTTTTCTTTTAGAAAACCCCGAATCCCCAGAAGCATCGTGGACATCCCTATTGCCCCAATCACTTCGGTCTTAAACCTAAATCATATGCTTCTCCCTACACGGTCATACGTGAATCGCCTGAATGATAGGGACACTAGCAGCACCAACATGAGTGTGTCTTCCCTGCAGTCCCCGTCAGCTCTGAGTAGATGCCCGGTGCAATGTGATACCGAAAAGAGATCGACCGTGTATTGGGCATCATTAAATAATGCGAACTCACCACGGACAACCTCCCTCCGAGTACCACGGGGCAGCACTGCTGGTGGCTTCCCACATCCACACGGCCTGGGCAGCTTGGGAGTGGCCACGAGGGCAGACAGGATGCTGAGGATGAGGATGCGCGGGCCAACTGGGTCAGTCCCCAAGTCAAATCCATGCCCCTGGTTCACCAACCCAGGATCCCAGTGGATAGCAACGCCATGCAAGCAACACGCAGCAATGCAAAAAAGTCAGCCCCATGTGAGGCGTCACCAGTGAAGCCAAGAGCTCTCCAAAGACCACGTGTTTGCAAGAACAGGGAAACCACTGCCTCCTTGGTAAACCTGGCCTCACCCTCGAGGAGGTCCCTGGAGGGTGTGAGGCTACAGAGCGTTAGTAAACCAGGGGTCACACAGTCTCCTGTTCTCAGCTCTGTCCTGAGAGCTGACTAATGAAAGATGCTTCTAGCTGCCCCTTCTAGGTCGTCCATGTGTATTGTTATATATATATATATATATATATATAATATTATTAATTAGGGCATTCCCGCAGCCTGGCTTGCTTGTCCTAAAGTTAACAGCACCCCCAGGAATTTGCCTCAGGGTCAGCAGGGGTTAGCGTCAGTGAAGCAGGCATCCTCAGGGAAGCAAACATGGGCTCAGCCATCCAGGCACCTACCTTGGAAGCAGCACTGGCCTGGGAAGCCCTCCGAGGCAGAATCTGACACTAAAAGAGAGGAGAGCCGTGTATGACTCGCTTTGATGAATCGAATTCATCACGGCCAGCCTCTCTTCAAGTACCATAAGTGAACACTTGTGAGAAATCCACTGCCTGTCTTGCCAAGGTGGCTGCCTGTAAGGAAGGGGTGGAACAATCTTGGGTAGTGGGCCGAGTGACATGCGAGCACATTCATTGCATGCTCACCCGAGACACACTTACCCTAAGCAGGGGTGACTCCTGCTCATCCTCCTGGACCAGGAGGGCTGCCATCTCACTGCCATCATCACGTCAGCACATCACGGTAGCCCCTTGAATCCTGTGCTGCTTGAACCATGGCTACTTCCCCGTGGGCATCACCTCTGTGGACCCTTCTGTGGAGAGATGGGAGGCCAGGAGTTAGAGGATCAGGTGTCAGATCTAATCAGTAAGTGTGCATTCAGGGAACAGTCACACACCCCCAATGTGGCTGGCCACTGACTTCTGGTCCCTCAGTGGAAAGCAACGCGTTGTCCCAGGAGCACTTCAAGGAGGCTGTGGCAGTGACACAGATGCCACCACCATGACGCATCACTTTTTAAGTCCACGTGCCCTCCCTGCCACGGTTGTCCGAATCCACAGAGCAGCCACCAGCGCACGTCCACTGCTGTCCCCAAAGTTGGCAGGACCTCCTCCACGTCTCCCAGGCAGCTGGGGTTGGTGCTGAGGGTTGGTGACTAGGTGGCCCAGAGGGTGAACAGAGTGCTTGCCCCTCTGGTCAACCAGTCACACACCCTGAACGGTGCTGACACCAGGTTCTCCTCGGGAAGGTGGCCTGGGGCCCAGGAAGCCTCTCTTCGACGTCTCGTGAGGTGACACTGGTGACAAAACCACAGTTGCTTCCCCCGAGGTGGAGTGGCCTTTGGGAAGGCCTCCTGCAGGAGGAGGATGCCCAGGTGAGTGGCCCAGATGACTTACAGCTAGGACAAGCCCATGGCCCTGGCCGGCCGGCCAGCCAGTCTCATCTTCCACGAAGAACACGGAGTCTTCTCTTCCAGAGTGGCCGTCCCATCTGGGGCATCCTTAGAGGTAGTATTTGGTACTGAAAAAAGTGTTGTCCGTGAATGATTCGTCATAAGTAAAGCGAATCCACCACGAACAACTTCTCTTCAAGTACCACAGAAAGGCAGAGGCAAGACAGAGCAGGGTCCCCTTCCACTTCTCTGAGGGGCACAATCTCCGACTGCAGTCCTGCGGGCAGATGGGACACCGGGTGTTAGTGAGACGGCTGACGCATGTCCTGAAAACACTCCAGGGTCCAGGCAGCTGGCCACTTACCTCCCAGGAGCGGGGCTGATGCCCTGCCTGCCCCTTCCCGGGAGCGGTGATGGCATTTCCGAGTCTTCAGGGGCGGGGCTTAGAAACGAGAAGAGAGGGGCTTCACTGTGCCAGCTCGTTCCAGCTCAGGACCCTCCGTGTGGGTGTGGACCCTGGGCTTTCAGAATAGGGACCTGGGCTTCTCAGCAGAGCACACTTGGTTCTCTATCAAGCACATCGAAGCACTGGCCAAGCTCCTTCATGGGACTTGTGGGGTCTACCAGATGAGGGGGGTTCCAGAAGAGCCACCATGGGGTGCTCCTGAAGAAGTCTGCCCAGCCCTGGGCCCTGAGGTCCCCTCAGGAGACCCCGGGAGACCCCAACTCCCTTCCCGCCCCACCATCCCACCACATGTCTCATCCCAATGAATCACCCAGGAAAACAATTCCCAGAAAGCCAGCATCCCTAGGACCAGCAGGACCAGGTTCAGTTCCCCAGGCTGACCACCCAGTCCTCACATCCCACAGCCCTTCCACGTTTGGAACCGTGACTCATCACCATGTTCTCACTTCTCCGGAGAGATTCACTGCCCACTACCGAGGGCTACCTGCAGCCCGCCAGCCCCTACACCGAAGGCTGTGGGTAGACAGCCTCCCGGCTCAACCTCACCTCCAGATCATTCTTCTGCTCTTTTCCTTTTAAATCCCAGTTCACGGCATTTTAATCAGAGCTCACTGCCCACTACCTGGATCAGGGCCCCCCAGGATCCTCCTTCTGGCTCACCACCTTCCTCCCAGAACACCTCCTGACATCCTTCCTGGTAATGACCACCCAGTGATGCTGCTCCCAACTCTCTAGCCTTGGCCTGGAGGCTGCCTCCCCTCCAGTTACCTCTGCCAACACCCCACCCGACCCTCAAGCCCCATGGTCACTGCCTCAGCTTGGATCTTGGCAATACTGGTAATGATACTTCTCCCAAAGCTCCTAGGAACCCACTGACTCACTCCAGAGCCCCAGTTCAGCAGTGGTCACACCTGTAGACACTCTGGTTCATCCCCTGCCCCTCTTGTCACTCCTGACCCTGGCTGGGCTCATCCAACCCATCCCTGGGCCTGCTGGCTCCACCTGTGGGACCTCTCATGTTCTTCGTGTGGAGACTCCTGTCCTCTTCCTACCTTCCATCAGCAACTCATAGATCAATACAATAGCCATCCACGTGGGCTCTCCATCACCACCCTTGTGGTCAGAGTGACCATTTCAATTGAACCACACCTCCCTCCCCACTCAGAATCCACCCATAGTTTCCATCACACTCAGAATAAAATCTGGAGGTGCCCAAGCCTCAGAGGCTGCCTCTTTCACCCATAGTTCAGTCCAGCCCCACCTTCCTTCTTGCTGTTCCTCAAAGATGCCAGAGAGCTTTCATGTGCCACAAGCTTCTCCTGAAAACCTGACTCCCAAATCTCTTTCTAACCCACCCCTACTTCATTTCAATTTCCCCTCCCCAGAGAGACTTTCCCAGACCCTGTATTTAACATAAATGTCTATTCTATCTGTGCCTCTTTCTCACAGCTTACCCTGCTTTCCTTTCCTTCGTAACTCTACAGTGGATAGAATGATATCATTTGGCCTATACCTTCTATCTCTCCCACCAGATTGTCAAGTTCATGTGAATAAGAACTTTACCTTGTTCACTGTACTACCCAGTTGAGTGGACCTGATTAAGGTCTAGAATCATCTAGTAGATAGTATGTGTGATCATGATTTGTGGAATGACATTCCTCATTGATTGATCAACTGATGGAAAATTCATTAGCAAAGTGGTTACGCTCATTACAAGAGAATCTGACAATGCAGAGAAAGAGCCCTGTTGAAAAAGTATCATGGTCCAAGCAGACATCCCTTCCGTAAAGCAATTATCCAATGGGCTGGGTCTTACGGGAGAGGAAACCAAGTGTGACCCACCTTGGTTGAGTGAGTTGAGACTCTGCTCAACTCACTCTCCCCATGTCCTGGAAAGATGCCATGCCAACATGTCTTCCTGAGGTTGGCACTGCTTCCAGAATGCCTTCCCGGGCAAGAGTGGACCATCAAAAAGTCTTTCCTGGAGCAAATACCGTAAGGATGACCAGTAAGATTATCAGACAGTATCACCCCACATCGTCATAGAACATGGCCTCCAGGATTTCATTCTCCAGATGGTCTCCAGGGGTTCATTTTATGAAAGGTCTGGTTCTCTTGGGAGAAGGCAATGGCACCCCACTCCAGAACTCTTGCCTGGGAAATCCCATGGACGGAGGAGCCTGGTAGGCTACAGTCCATGGGGTCGTGAAGAGTCGGACACGACTGAGCAACTTCACTTTCACTTCTGACTTTCATGCACTGGAGAAGGAAATGGCAACCCACTCCAGTGTTCTTGCCTGGAGAATTCCAGGGACGGCAGAGCCTGGTGGGCTGCCATCTATGGGGTTGCAGAGTTGGACATGACTGATGTGACTTAGCAGCAGCAGCTGGTTCTCTTGGGACAGGTGGCAGATGTTCTATGAGAACGAGATTCTTAGGGGTCAATCTCTCAGATGGGTTTGGTGTCAATGACAACATCCCTTCCAGAAGATCACAGCCCTACTAGGCAGCCATCTCTTGCCTAGGTTAGATTTCAGTCTCGGGGGCAACGAGTGACAAGCATCTTAAAGGATGCGCCTGCACTGTGATCCATCAGCCACGTACATACCTCGGGTGGGCACGAAACCAAGACCTCCTCCTGGAAGGTGGGATGCTGTCGGGGAAGCCCTCCAGAGCAGTATTTGATACTGAAAAACTGGATGTCCCTGTATGATTCGTCATAAATAACAGCGAACACAGCAGGGATAACCACTCTTCAAGTACCAAAGGCTAACGCTGATGAACCGTGTCTTCACCAGAGTCTGCCTTGCCTGCAGCTAATCCTCCTAAGGACAAATTGGGGACTGGGGGTTAAGAGGATTGGGTGTGGCCCTTCGTAAATAAAGCCAACCATACACTCCTGTCCCCCGGGAAGGGGTGGAGGCCAGCAGCTCTTCCCAGGAAGCATTCCAGGCAAGATCAATACTGAGAAACAAACCTTCCCTTAAGTGACTCAGCATAAAGAGAGCCAAACAGCAAGGAGAAGGTCTTTTCAAAGGATAGGTACTAGCATGGAGGAGGAAGCAGCGCCTCTTCTTCAGAGTCTGTCCTGAGAAGTGACTGGATAGCGAGGGACTGTGGATCAGTTGACATACATCATTGACAAAATGTATGTTCTCTGATCAACCATCCACTCCCCTATCACGGATCACGCCCTGCCCTCAGGTTGGAGTCCTGGTGCAGCACCTCTCCAGGTGGGAGCTCGTCCTGCAAAACAGCAGCTGGGATGTGATCAGCCACACAGGCTGTGATGACACGACCATGAACTCTACAGATGCTCAGCCCTGGGGGCTAAGCATTTAAGACCTCAATGCTACAGCTGGGGGATGGGGGGGGGCTTCATCCTGACAAAGGCCCAGGGTCTGAGACGGGCCATCCTTTCAAGAATCGCGGGAGGTACTTCCTTCCTGAAGGTGGAATCAAGATCAGGCAGGGTGTAAGCAGGCTCCGCGTTTCAGACCGAGCAGGCACTGAAGAGTGGCCCGCCGTGGACCGCACCTGACCAGGCGTGGCGGAGCAGAAGCCCGTCCCCCGCCCTCCCTGCTCCTGACCCAGAGTAAGATGCCAAGGGTCAGGGGTCACAGTAGCTCTCCCTAGACTCAGGGTTGGTACCAAGAGCCATAACCTGTCTCTGGATCAGAGGTGGCCTCCAGGAACTCGTGCTGGACAGAGTACGGATAGCCAGAGCTGAAGGAATGGCCAGCCGTAAAGACCACACTCCAAGACCGAACTTTCTCTTCGAGGGAGATGGAGTGCACCTGAGCCCCGAAATCCCTATAGACAATTGTGTTCTGAGGGCCCAGGGGTCCTCACCGGGACCCAGTGAGGGGGCTGCCATATAACCCTGCCCTGAAGGTGGAACCCCACAACTCAGTCTTCCATGGTACCAGAACCTCCACCACAGACAATGCATACACGCCCAACAGACCCCGCGCTGACGCTGACCACAGTGTCGGCGTCCCATCTCCCAAGCTTGGGTCGCTCCTAGGTGTCACTGAGGTGCTCTCGGGTTCACGGATGGGGGCCATGTCCATCCTTTGGGCACACCCTGGGGGGCAGCTCTGCAGTCACGTACCTGAGGGGTGGACAGCTCTCTTACTGGAAAGCTGGGGTCACCAGTGGGTGGTGGACTGAAGTCATGAAAGGACTCCACCAGGCTGGCCAGGAAAGCCACAGAGACCGGAGCATAGGGCTTCTCTGCAGCCCCCAGAGGTCCCGGTCAAGACTCTGGAGGCAGTGGGTCACGGGGGCCCCCATTCTCCAGCAAATGGGGGGTCCGGGTCAGTCTCCCGTCCCCATAAGCAGGGGGGATCCAGTCTCAGAGAGAGCACTGCGTGCAGGCTGCAGAGACAGAGAGGTGTCGGCCGGGCGGTCCTCCTCCCGAGGGAAGGGGCTATGGCCCCACGGGTCTCTTCGTGTGCCAAGCGGGGGTCAGGAACTCTGCAGGCTCTGCCAGCAGTGCCTCGGGGAAATCTGCCTGGACAGGAAGTGGACCTGGGGGGTCAGCGAGGCGAGCAGAGGCAGGCCTGCCTTTCGCGCACCTGGGGAGACAGATGGCGACCGTGTGTGTCCAGGGAGCCGGCCTGGGTGGGACCTGACCCTTGAAAACAGATGGCCCTCAGAGGAGTCTTCATGAAGGGAGTGATCTCTCCAGGAAGGATCCGGGGGAGCAGAAAGCACATCCTCTCCACAGGGGGCAGGGTAGCCTCCAGGAAGCTGCCCTGCAAGGGGCAAGTCTGGGTCTGGACGGTCAGGGCTGTGGAGAGCTCTCGCTGTGGGCAAGGCTCAGCCATCAGGCCCCCACTGACCGGCCCTGCAGGAACATGGACTCGGGGGCCCTGTCTCAGCCCCTCACCCCCAGGCAGGCTGGACTGACAGCAGGGGCGACCTTGTCCAAATCAGAAACACACCAAGTTCACTGCAAACCACTGCAAAGCGCCCAGGCCCCGCCCCCAGCCGGCCTCCCTTCCAGGAAGCATGCCTTCCGCAGCGCGGCTGGCCCCGGGGTCACAGCTCACACCAGGCACACGCTCTCACGTCTCCTGTGCGGGCGGCCCTCGAGGCAGAGTTTGATATTCAAAGAGAGGTTAACCATGTATTATTCATGATGAGCCAAGCGAACATAACACGGATAACCTCTCCTCAAATATCCCTGAACAGTTCTGAAACGAAAACCATGGCCTTTTCCCCAGTGTTGGTCGTCTCTGGCTGCGGAAGGTTCTTCTTAGGAAGACCCGAATCCAAGGCTCAGAGAGCTGGGCACTCAGATCCTGTAAAGAAAGCCCACATGTGGGCATCAATCATATATCCCCCATACCTGGGTCCCAGGGCTTGCACTTGGCCTTGACACCAGAGTCCAAAACCCCAGAGCTGGAACCGTGCTCAGAGACACTCCCAAAGCAGGTTCGATCCTAAAAACAGCAACAACGACAACAAAAACAACAACAATGACAATGAAAGCTCCTTTAGGGATTCCTCAGAGCTGGAATTTGATGGTAAGAAACCCTAGGAATGTTGTGTCACAGGTGATGCAAAGCCATCCTGATGATACCTTTTCTGATAAAACAAAGCATATCACAGATCCCCAAGATAGGGGTCCCCAAAAGATGGCCTTGGTCTCAAAGCAGGAATGCTGCTTCGGACTGACTGGAAATGGATGATTCCAGAATTTCATAGTCCCAGACATTAATACCGCTGATAGTCCAGTACCTGATGAGCCTTGAACCTGGAGGCCTCTCCACGGCGAGGGTCTTCTATCCAGGAAACCCTGGGAGGTGGAATTTGACTCTAACGGGGAGTCATCTCATGACATTTATGCATAAGAGAGCCCGGGGCTGATAACCATTGTGCACGAACAGAAGAGTGGTATGTTGGCCTGGGAAGAGCTCTCACGATATGGAAGGTGGGGCGCAGGGGACACACATCACAAAGGAAGCACACCCTCTCCAGCCCCGAGCTGCTCCGAGTGTTGTCCACCGACCAGAAGCATTAGCATCACTTGGGAACTTGCTAAAAATGCAGAATCTTGGTCCCTGAATCAGAATCTGCCTTTTAACAAGATCCCTAGGTGATGAAAATCTGAGAAGCATACTAGAGTTTGAGAAACACCCCTCTAGCTGACAGTTCACACACACACACACACACACACACACACGCATGCACACACACCCCAGAGGTGCCACTGACCACAATGTCTTATTCCCAGGGTCTGTGTTCCCTTGGACTGCAAAGAGATCAAATCAGTCAATCCTAAAGGAATCAACCCTGAATATTTGAAGGACTGATTGCCGAAGCTCCAATACTTTGGCCACCTGATGCAAAGGGCTGACTCATTGGAAAAGTCCCTGAGGCTGGGAAAGACTGACGGCAAAAGGAGAAGGGGACGACAGAGGATGAGATGGTTGGATGGCATTGAGCAAACACGAGGACAGAGGAAGCTGGTGTGCTGCAATCCATGGGGTCACAAAGACTCAGACACGACTTAGCGACTGAACAATAACAACACGTCTCATGGGAGAGTCTCTGAGATGAAGTGGGTCCAGTAACAGGCACATAGCCATGCCATGTCCACCAAGAATAAGACGGACATTCAACAGACAGCTCCTTAGTAGCAGTGGCAGGAAGTGGACTGTGTTTTCCTTAATTTTGCATCTTCTCTAGCACATCTTCCATGCTCAAATTTATGTCAAAGGTCAGAGGGCAGGGGAACCAAATGACCCAGTCCATCTTTCAGCTGCCTTGAGAGATGCTTGATAGCTGTGTCTCTTCCAGGAATTCCTCATGACTGAGATTGAGTAACAAAAAGAAAAAGACAGATGAATAATTACCAGCATTGTCCAAATGGCCCTGAGCACCGGAACTGTATGTCCACCCCAAAACTAGTGTCAGTTCAAGGGGCATCACACCGCAGGCTTGCATTCCCAACTGAATTAGTGGTCAGAGATCATCAACAAACACATGCTCCGTGGTTGAGTTAGGCCCCTGTGTCGTCTTGCTGAAGTCAGCACCGTCCTCAAGAAAAACTTGTGAAGCCCATCTGGATATTTGGATACGAAAACAATGGCTGTCCGATATTAATCACCACAAATACAGAGACCATTCTGCGGACAGCCATTCTTTAAGCATCAAAGGACTGTGCCACCCGGAAGAGCTTGGCATTGTCTCCAAGGTCGGTGTCCTTTCCAAAAGGTTCTTCTCGGGTGGTCCAGACAATGAGGGTTAGTGGGTCAGTTTCACACACTCGGCGGTTGCTCACATCCTCAGGCAGGGGACAGGGGAGCCGACAGCAATGACTTGATCCTCAAGTTGGCTTTGTGTCCAAGCAGTGCCTTCCAGAAGCAGGATCTGATGAGCCTTGAATGCTGGGTCACTCATAACACACACCCATGACCAATGCAGGTCGAGACAGCACCAGGGAGCCCGGTGGCCCCTGGCCAAGCTTGGCCCCGCCACAAGGTTCCTGAAGGTTCAGAGCACTGGTTCCCCAGCATGAGCCCCTGCAAGCTCTCAGCCCCCAGCCAGGCAGGAGTCCCCCAAGGAGTTGACACACGCATCTCCATGGAACTCGTCATGGGGTTCAGGAAGTCCGCCGAGGCAGGATTTGATACTCAAAAAGAAATTGTCCTTGTATGATTCATCCCAAATAAAGCGAACACACCAAGGATAATTTCTCCTCAAGTATGAAACAGCGACGTGGACAGAACACTGGCACCTCCAGGCCTTTGGTTCAAGAATGGACAGTGACTGCAACTCAGCAAACCCGAGCACACACCACACACACACACACACACACGCGCGTGCATCATGGACCAGGCGTCTCCAGTTACCAGGGAGGTGGAACTGAACTGCTCTTTGCTCTGCTTGGTGGCCATGCCCTAGTGTCCTGCAGAAGGCGGCTCACGCAGGTAGCCAAGGACTGTCCGCCTTCCCTGGAGCCGGCACTCTCAGTGGCCCACTGTCACGGCCTAGGGCCCCACTGTACCCTGCTTTTCCAAATGCCATCACGAGAAGGGCTCAGTGGCTGCACTTCCAAAGCCTCGGCCACCCCCACTGAACACAGCATAAACTCTGGGCTCGAGCATCCACTCACATACCTGAGGGTTATCTGCTGTCCACATCTCAACACCACTCCAAAATGCCAAGGAGAAATTTTGATAATCGCATCACCATTACCAAGCGTTTCCTAGCACACAGTGTCCCGACTACAACTCTGCTCTAAGCCATGTACAAGTTTTAACTCACCCAGCCCCCGCCCCCCCACAGCCCTCCAGCCCCCCTTCCACATGAGACAGCAGGCACAGCACGATGAAACATCCTTGCCCAAGGTTGCCCGGTTAGTAAGTGTCAGAGGCGGGATCCGAACACAGCAAATCGCGCTCTACGGTCTGCGCTCTTGATACTGAAAAAGTGGATGACCCTGTACGATTCGACACGAGTAAAACGAACAGGACAGGGATAACCACTCTTCAAGTACCAAAGGTTAGCACGGAAAACAAAGCCACTGCCTTGGGAGGACGTGGAGCGTCTTCAAGGCACAGTCCTGGGGACAAATTAGATGCTGAGGGTTAGTGGATCAGTTCACGGGCACCCAGCATACACGTGCAGTGACGATGCAGCCACCACCCACACCGGGGCCCACCTGGCTGTCTCAGGACCTGGGTCATGCACGCAGAGTGCATGCCTCCTGACTGCCCCTGGTCCCACCCCACACAGAACCGGGAGGGGTGTTACTCCCCAGGGCCCATCAACTTCTCTGAAGTCAGCCATGTGCCTGAGATGTCACCTCTGCCCAGTGGTGACCCTGAAGCCATTTGCCACACACCACTGGTCACACGGTCATGCACACACGTACCGAGTCCCTTCTGCGTGTGGACTGGGTCCAAGGTTTGATACTCACAGAGAGCTTGCCCTTGTATATTCTACGTCCAAAAACCGAATATACAAAGGGCAACCTCGCTTTAAGTACCAAACAGTAGTAGCATTGGGCAGGTCCATCGCTACTGTTCACAGAGCTGGCCTCGTCTCCCGGGAAATGTCCTAGGGAGGGGGTGGGGGATGTAGCATCGGCGGACCAGGGGGCAGACACCGCCTGCCAGGTGTGCGCCTGCTGGACCGCTCTCCATCCCAGCTTGGGGACAGCCAGGAGCCAGTGCCCCTTCTCTGACATCAATATCATTTTCAGGAATCACTCCAAATCAGGGCTTATTCCTGAAAAGATCAACCCCACAGCCTTCCAGGGCATCCCCAGAGCTCAGCTAGCTTCTTGCTTTCTGCAGAATGATGCTGGAGGTGGAACCAGCATGGACACCTCCTCCAGGAAATCCTCCTGATTACGCACCAAGGGTGAGGGGATTGGGTGAATTTACATCATGGATGAAGTCAAGGCCCCATGGTCACCGTCATACCTCCCACCAGGGCCTCCTCCCCACACTCCCCATGCCCTACCGGAGGCTGGCATCACACCGGGAAGCCATGATAGAAGAGTCGAGATTGAAACGGAGTCTAACTCCACGTACCACAGAGAAATGGATTCAGCAGACCAAGACCAGCTCCCCACGGCAGCCTCAAACCCAAGGAGGCCCTACAGAAGGAGCAGAAACTGAAGGCCACGGGTGAGCAGGAAACCTAGCTCATCCCCCCAGGGGAGGCACCCACCTCTCGCAGGTGACACCCGCTCTCCTCGATGGGGCCATGGCAATGCGTCTTCCCAGATGCTGGCCTCAGGGCCTGGGGACCCCCACGGTGGTCAGGCTGTACCAAGTGGATGGATACATAGCCCAAGACATGTCTCCACAAACACAGAGCCAGAGCCCTTGTCTTCTGGCCATCATCCTAGAGATGAACGGGATGCAGGAAGGTCAGAGGACCGGAGAACACATGTGGAGAGAGAAGCACTTCCCTCTGACCTTCAGCATCCACGTACCTGATCCAGGGCGATGGCTCCCATGCTCCTCCCCGGAGCTGGGTGCTTCCTGTGGAGGACAGTGTCTCCAGGCAGGACTGGAACCACGAATCACAAACAGAAAGAGTTCTTACAGATTCATCTTGGGGACTGTGAGCAGGAGGGTGCTGTCCCAAACATTAAAGAGGAGCCTTGGCCAGCAAATCTCAGCCTCTTCCCCTGAGTAAGCGCCACCTCCAGGAAGCCTTCTGGGATGGACTCGCAGGTGTTGGTCCATCCTGCTTGGAACCATCATAAATAAAGCCAGAGCCCTGTGGTCCACCATCACTCATGCGTCTCCCTCAAAAGGGTCTGACATCAAGGTCTCTCTTCTGAGTTAGACATGGTAGCGGGAAGCCTCCAGGGTGGGACTTGGCAGTGACAAAGGGCAGGTCCACGTGCCTTTAAAAGAGCAAATCATCATTAGACTCAGTGCAGACAACAGACGGCATGCACAAAAGGCCACCGCTGTCCCCCACCAGCCTGACGCGGCCTCGGGGGAGCCCCCAGAGGAGGACCTGGGGCTGACGCCATGGCCAGAGCCCACGTCTGGGCCTGGGAAGTGAGGACATACCTGTGAGGAGCCGACAGCAGCGTCTCCATCCTGAAGGTGGAGCTGGGTCCAAGTGCCTTCCCAGTCAGAGTTTGATACGCAAATAAGAGTCTCCCTCTGTATATTCGCCATTAATAAAGTGAACATACAAAGGGTATCCTCTCTTCAAGTACCAAAGAGCAGCTCCAATGAGGACCATGCCGCAGCCTCCCCAGAGGGTGCTCGCCTCCTGCAGGCCCCGACACCAACGGGGAGGAGCCAGTGAGGACCCCACCCCTGCGCACTGTGACCCGGCCCTGGGATGGCTGTGCTTCCCAGCATCTCTCCAAGATAGGGCTGCCTCCCAAAGTCAGCGCTGTCCTGTAGAACTTGACAGCAATTGTCAGATGACTGACAGTCGTTCAGAGCCTGCAAAACTGCCCTTTCACCCAAAGTCTTTCCCTTCAGGAAGTTCCCGTGGTGACAGGTGGTTAGAAGACACAATTGCATGCATCACTAAAAAGCAAAAGCAAACAGGAAACCAACACAGTCCATGATCTGCTCCTCACTCACAAATTGTACGGCAGCATTAAAGCCAGCATCCTTCCACCTGCACCTGACATTGTGTCCAGAAAGTCACCTGAGCTGTCACTCAAAAGCACTCACTGAGGGCAAGATTCACTAAAGGACAAAGGAATCCCCAGGGGCCAACTCTCTCCAATGAAACAGATAATGACATCAGACATCCCAGGGTCCTTCCATCACAATTAGCTATAAGGCCAAGAGGAGGACTATGGACCAAGAGAACACTGGGCTTATGGTCCCAGGGCAAGTACCATAAACTACAGCACTCAGGGCTACCCAGTTCCTTTCCTCTAGACAAGTGGCCACACCTACTCCCTTCCCTCAAAAGGACATTAAAGCCCAGAAGTCAGCCCAAGAATAGCCTGGGTGTGTAGAGTGGGTGGGGCTTCCCTGGTAGCTCAGACAGTAAAGAATCTGCCTGCAATGTGGGAGCTGCAGGAGGCGTGGGTTCAATTGCTGGGTCAGGAAGATCCCCTGGAGAAAAGAATGCAACCCACTCCAGTCCTCTTGCCTGGAGAGTTCCATGGACAGAGAAGCCTGGCGGGCTACAGTCCATGGGGTAGGCCAGGTAAGTCAAGGATGAGCCAGGCCCTGACTTGCTGTTGAGCCTTCTTTCTCGTATCTGGGAGACACGCTGACCTTGAGGTCTCCTTCCAGAGCCTGGCATTGGGGCTGGGGAGACTGGCTAGAGTGACAGCTCGTGGTGGCTGCAGCATCACACTAGGCAGGCTCACCAAGGAAGACACCGCATCCCAAACTGAACAGAAAACCACTGCATCCTCTCCAAAGCCGTCATCTCTTCCCACAAGTTCTTGGAAGGATGCAGGGGATGAAGAAGACAAGAAACCAGGTCACAGATGGCAACAGAGAGGCGCATACACCATGGTCAGCATGCATTTGCCTACATTGTGGTGGTCCTGACCTCCGATTCTCCAAGAAGCCCTCCCAGGCAGGCACTTGCTTCTCAGAGAGATTGCATGTTCATGACAATCAATGCAAACCCAAGAAGGATAATCTCTCTTCGAGCAGCAAACACCACCATTGGTAGGAAAGCCGCTCACACTGTGGCAGGGCTGGCCTCTGCTCCAGGAGTGAGTCGAAGATAAACAGACTGGACAGACAGGGTTAGTGGGCAGGCAACACGGGGCTTTGGGCAGAGTTCCTGGCTGTGGGTGAATCCTGCATCCCAGAAGTGGTACCCCCACCAGGGCCCCGTCCTAACGCTGATTCCCAGGTAATCTCTAAGATTACTGCAGAAGAGGGGGCTCTGGAAAATGCTATATAAACATGGTGAACACACAGAGAACAAAATCCATTCAGACTTGATGAAGTAATCCTGAGAGCAGTCGCGGGACCGCACGACCAGACCGAGGGTAAGTCAGCTGAACGGCACACCTCACACAGAGCCCAGGATACCCCTGACCACCCCCTTCCTTCTTTGACGGCGATGTCGCATCCTCCGAGGTTTCCAAGCAGCATTTGATACTGAAAACGTGGATTTTCCTCTATGATTAATCGTAAATAATGTACTCATAGAAGGAGAATCTACCTTTTAAATACCAAAGAAGGATTCTGTCCAGGAGAACTCCAGTCTGTGCTTCACTCATCAAACATGAAACTCACGTCGAGTGGACAAGCCTTCACAGGTGGACGGATGAGAGACCCACAATGTACCTCTCACCGAGTGGGCTGCTCGGTCAGAGATGGCTCCCGAGTATGGATGAACCCCAGGTGTCCGTCCTTAACTAAGACATGGCATGCCATCCACCCCCCAACCTTCCCACCTGCCCAGGCCCGGGGTCCTGGGAGTGGGCCTGGCCCTCCAGTCTCTTCCAGAAACATTTCCAGAGCAGCATTTGATACTGAAAACATGGATTTTCCTCTATGATTATCTATGAATCACGTAAACATAGAAGGAATATCCACATTTTAAATACCAAAGAAAGATGGAGTTCTGGAAAGGACCTGCGTGCATAATTTACCGAAAATGGAAGCGAGACGACCAGGGAAGCTGTATCCGGTCCTGTGGCGGAGCTGCGGCCGCACACCACGGCCTCCTTGGCTGGCGGGCTCCTTAGCGAGAGAGGGCTTCTAAAGGTGATGGTCAGCAGACATATGACACGAAGGAAGCACATGTTCTGCGGCCCACCACCTTTCCACTAACCCAGGTGAGGGGCTCAGCCCAGCCTCCTGCCCCTGCCCACGCGTCAGTCCCACTCACGTCTCCAAAGCAGCATTTGATACCGAAAATGTGGATTTTCCTCTATGATTAATCACCAAATTCGTAATCATAGAAGGAAAATCTACCTTTTAAATACCAAAGAGGATGGATCCCAGGAAGCGTCATCCTAGGCACAATCCATCTGAAATGAGAGACACATAGCAAAAACTGCTGAGCTGCCCTGGAGAAACCGGGACCCCAGCCTCTCCCCCTGAGCTGGCTGCTCAGCGGGAGGGTCTCCCCAAGACAAGCGGGTGGTCCGCAGACATGTGCCAGGAATGGATCACATGTGCTGGGGTCCACCAACTTCCACTTACCCTGGAGGGGCTTAGCCCCACCTGGCTCCCCTGATGGAGATTTCAGTCCAGGAAAGTTTCCAAGCAGCATTTGATACTGAAAACGTGGAATTTCCTCTATGTTTAACCATAAATAACATAAACATAGAAGGAATATCCACCTTTTAAATACCAAAGAAGTATTTAGTCCCGGAAAGCATGAACCTGAGTACAACCCGTCAAAAATAGAGATAACACAGGACAGGTCCACTAGGCATGAGCCTCTGGATCTGGCGGCCGGGAAGGTCGCCTGTCCCATCACTAAAGGGGAAGGAGGTGGAGTACATTCACTCCCTCCGTGTGTGTGTGTGTGTGTGTGTGTGTGTGTGTGTGTGTGTGTGTGTGGGTGGTGTGGTGTGTGGTTGTGTTCAGGGGGGACAGTTAACCTTCCTCTCTCTTCAATGACGGGGCGGATTTTGTGTGCAGAAATGTCCCAAATGCAACTTTAGATACTTAAAATGTGGATTTTCCTCTATGTTTAGCTGTCAATCCTGTAAACATAGAAGGAATATCCACCTTTTGAATATCAAACATTGAGCAGACCTGGGAAGCACAAGCCAGAACATGAGGCAGCTGGAAAAGATGAAACTGCAGGCCATCAAGTCCTTTCTAAACTCCATGAAGGAACTATGACATCAGACCCTGGCCCCTTGGGGTCTGCCTTGCTGTCAGCCCCCCTGCTGAGGGAAACCCTGATATCTCCACCCCAACCAGGTCTGGAAAAGCAGAGTCTCATTCTGGAAAAGTGAACAGGCTTCAAAAATAACCATAAATAAAGCAAATACAGTAGGAATAACCATCCTTGCAGTAAGTCCTGAAAATATCATAGAGAAAGAGTAAAATCCTATGACGTTCCTAAAATCAAGTTCAATTCCATGAAGCCCTCCTGAGGTATCCTACAACACAGAGAGTGGGAAAGTGTGCAGGATAGTCAGGCATCCTTTCTCATACCTTGGAGCGATGAGGACATCAAAGAACCTTCTAGAAACTGAGATTTTATTTGGAAGGTCTCAAGAGGCAGGACTGGGTAAATCAACAGGATAGTCTGTTGGGGTGCATTAGACAAACACATCACAGACAATATCACTTGAAACCCCACCAAGAGGCAGCAAAACATGATGTTTACCTGCCACCCTCCCTCCCAACTAAAAAATTTTACAAAAAATCATTTTTCAGGTGGACCGGGGGAAACAGAGACTTACCAAAGTAGGTGCTGTGAATTCCTGGGAAAGCGTGCTTCCTAAAGTGAAAGTGCAACTGTTACTCACTCAGTCGTGTCCAACTCTCTGTGACCCCATGGACTGTAGCCTGCCAGGCTCCTCTGTCCATGGGATGTCCCAGGCAAGGATACTGGAGTGGGGTGCCATTTCCTTCTCCAGGGGATCTTCCCGACCTAAAGCAAACAATACATCAGCAATAATCCCAGACTCAGTCTATGTTCTGCAAAGTTGCCATCACCTGCAGGAAGTCCTCCTAAACACAGACTTAATACTGAAGACAAATGGGCCAAAAGGCACTCTTTGGAACAAAGCACACAGTCTGTGGTTGACCCTCCATTCATATTCCACCAAGAGCCACCAAGACTAGTATCGCTTTTCTAAAGTTCAAATTGGTTCAAAAAAACCCTGACCTGGGAAACTAGTACCTGTCACAAGGATGGAGGCAAGCACTCTTCCTAGAGAGGAATGGACCCCAAGGGGAGGGGCCCAGGCCACCCCCAACATCTACAGAGCCAGAGCCCCTCCCCTACAGCCTTGGCTCACTGAGAAAGCAACCCTGAACCCCTGACATCCCCCCAAGCATCATTTGTCATAAATAAAGCAAACATACGTAGCCCAGTGCTTTTCACGGGCCAGCGGGAGCTATGCCAGGCCATCCAGGTTGGTGTTTTGTCCGGAATAAGTGGGCCATGGATGTTTAGGGGATCAGAGGGTCTAAGTTTGTGACCAACATCACTCATGTACCCAGGAGTGGATCTTACCAGCATGGTCATGCATGAGGAGGACATGCTGTTTAAGGAATAAATCCCAGTTGGGCTGTATTTTTTTTTCATTGAAATGTAGTTAGCCAGTTGAGATTTGGAAGAGATATGGTGACTAGCCACAAAACTCCTCCGCAGGGGCCCTGGGGAATCAATGTCAACTTACCTGTTGTCTCTTCCAAGAAGCAGGCACCACGCCCTGAGTCTCCTGCTGAGGATAACAAGCCAGTTGAGCTACCACGGATCCCTGAGCTGATGACTGTGTCTGCTCACTGTTGGGCTTAACTCCTCCCTCTCCTGCTACCCCCACTTCCCACTGGAACGGTCTTCCTGGAGAACTCTCCTCGAATAAACCACCTGCCCACAAGTCTTGAGGAACTCTTCTCCAAGTTTAGGATGAAAGTACATATTAAAAACAGCACTCTGCCCCCCAACAAAACTACAAAAAGATAAGTCAGAGAAAATTAGATGAGATAAAGCACAAGGGGCCCTTGAAGAGTGTGTAGACTTTGTAGTCTCTTTTCGTTAAGAATTTTAAAATTGTAACTTTCCCAAGAAGACTGGTACTTTGTCTTAAAAAGTTATTATTAAAATAATACAATCTGAAAAAATAAGTTTTATACTAAAACATCGGTATACCTGCCACACAGTCGTAACAATTCCCATGATCATCGCATCTTTATCATTATAATTTGTTCAGTGTATGTCTGGTGGCTCATCTATTCTTCCAGAGGTTACGCTTTGGAAACCAAAACACTGGAGGTTGTATATTTCAGGATTCTTTTAAAAATCCAAAAAAAAAAAAGTGCTAAACAACTTTTGTTCACATTTATTTGTCAACTGTTTAAAAAAAACTGGTGTTACACAGCCTAATTTTTCACATTGACAGATTTACTGTAAAAAACAAGATGATAGGGTATTATTTAATACATTCTCAATTCACAAAAGAAGAAAAGAAAAAAAGGAAAGAAGGGAGAACACTAGCCATCTGGTCAACCATCTGTTCCCAGGCCCTCAGAGGGGGGGCCAACACCTCCCCACTCCCCATGCCAGAACCTGACCCCCACGTGCAGCGAATCCTTCAAGAAGGCATTTGATGAAGAAAAGAGATCAACCGTGCAATATCTGCCACAAATAAAGCAAATACATCACGGACAACCTCCTTTCGAACATCTCAGACCAGCTTCTGCGACACGCTCCTCCTCCGTCCGCTGGACATCCTCCTGTAAAAGAAATGGATGGTGAGCGCTCACACGCAGAGAACAGATGCCATCAAAGACATCACGCTCCCTCCAAGCCTGCCTTTGACCTACCTGGGTACGCAGGTATGAGTGGCCCTCCCTGACATCAGCTGCAGGATGCGGACGGCCTCTCAGGTAGAACGGAAGCTCGGTTCTGAAAGTTGTACCTTTCCTGTTTCCTTGGGCATAGGACAAAGGCGCCATTGGGTGACTTCACATCCGATGGGTGGCTCAGAACCAGAATCTGCCCTCCAGGAGGTCCTCAGGGCTGCAGAGACTCTGGGGCTCCAGCGCCAGCTGCCCTCTACCTTGGTTCAGAACCCCTGGCAGGTGTTTCTGCATCTGAGCCTTCCCATCATCCGGCAAGGTGGCGCTTGACCTGGTCAATCAGGTAAGCTCCGTGAGCCACATCTTGGGACAGCCTTTCTTGATGGACCTCTGGTGATAGCTGCTTCTCCAAAGTTGTTTGTGCCCCCATGACAGTCTCTTAAGGGAGGACAGGCCCCCGGGGATGGGTGGGGCAGGAGTCAACCGTTCCGCAGGCAGCCACTGAGCCCAGCATCTCCCAAGTGCCACTAATGGGGCTCGTCATTAATGTCTCTTCCCGGAAGCTGGAGTTGGGCTTCCGTGATGGGGTATGATACTCAAATAGAAGTGCACCCATATTTTTCATCATAAACAAAGCTAAGAACCACAGATAACCTCTTTTCTACTACCAAACAGAGCACTGAGTGTAACCAACCCTGCGGCCTCTGGTCCAGCTGGCAGAGCTCCAGAAACTCCTCCTAGGGAAGACAGACACTGAGGTTAAGCCCGGCTGTCCAGGACTGGCACTCGAACTCTCTAGATGGAAACCAGCCACTGACCCTCCGGACCTGCCAACGCCAAGAGTCCCAGCTCCAAAGGCCCTTCCTCCATGTCGGATCTGATACTGCCAAGAGGTTGGCCAAGACCGACTTGTCATAAATAAAACAAATTCACCTGGGAATACCTCTCTTCAAGGACCACAGAATAGAAGGGTCCATGGAGACCCATGGTGCCTCCTGCGGGAGGATGGCGGCAGAATGCACGCAGCACGGAGGCTGAAAGATCGGACAGCATCAACTTGCTGTCTACTCGCTGGTCCCAACCAGGGGGCTGACACCACTGTCCCTGCTCTGCCAACGACAGCTGGGAACACATCCCTCCGGGGCAGGACTGGAACGTAGAAAGAGCGGCTGAGCAGAATTAGTCCCAGTGAAATGGCTGTCCCGGGAAAACCTCTCCCCCAGAACCTCAGGGACCACCGCCCTCCC